GCCGCCGGGGGGCGGGGTCGGCGCCGCCGGAATGGTGATTAATCTGGCCACGTTGCTGGCCGGAGCGGTGACGAATCCGGACGGAAAGGGGTATTTTCAGGGTCCGGCGGCGGCGCCTCTGGAGGCCGTGTCGGCGTGCACCGGGATTTTTGGAAGTGGGGCGTACCCGGGATTTCCTGGGAAGGTACTCGTGGACCCCACCAGCGGGGCCAGCTACAACGCGGGGGGAGTGAACGGAAGGAAGTATCTGCTGCCGGCGATGTGGGACCCAAAGACTTCGCTGTGCGCGACGCTCGTATAGGAAAAAAGTTACATGCCAGAGTTCACGTCCAGACTTCATATCTTCATGCGTGACATATATAAGCATGATTTAAATATAAGTAGAGTTCAAGCAGGATATAATTTGAGTACTGATTATATTTTGTTTGTATTCTGCTTATATTCAGACCTTATTTTTATATGTCACGTGACACAATATTATTGGAGTCTTAATATAACACTGATGATTTGTGCATGCATGTGCTTAAAGAGCGAGCAGAAGACGGACGAGGAGAGGGACAAGAGAGCGTGGCGAGATATATGAACAATTGTCTCTACATGGATTATTCATGCATAATAATTTCTGTAATTAGAGATGAAAGTTTGTGTGCACAATATATACTTGATATGGTGTTTCATTAATAATTTGTAATAATCTTTTTTTTAGCATGCAAATGAAAAAGATATTGTCAGTAGATGTGCTTTGATTCTCTGCCCTCAGATTATTAATCTGATAAATATATATATATATATATATATATATATATTTATTTATATATATATAAGCTAAGAATTGATTTGAACAGTTGAAGCTGTATTCATTGAAAGAAGATATAATTTATATAAAAAAAAATAAATGACATCAGAAAATTTATAAATATGACCTGAAAAAGCATGGAAAATGAACTATTTATCTCTAAATTATAAGCCATATTTTATATGAATCGGGTTTATATATATATATATATATTAGGCACTTATATATAGCTGCGCCTAATTTTTTCAAGCATGCGAACCACATTTTTTTTCTTAAATTAAGCGTTTAAATTGTTATGAAACTTTTGCCGAGTACATCATAGCCCCAACGGTCCCAGTTGGTCTACCCTTGGCCATGGACTTAGGGTTATCAAAACGGCTCATTGTTTGTGAACAACTCATGTTCGATTCATTCACTAAGCAAATGAGTCAAATATGAACAAATTTTTTACGCTCGATATATAAATGAGTCTAACACAAATAAAATTTTGTTTGTTCGTGTTCGGCTCGTTTTGATTCGAAATAATTAAATTATTGTTTCTAAATAATTTAATTGACTCCAAGGCTACAAAAATTTATAATCAATAAGAATTATTAATTAAAAATAAAATAATCATATACTAAATTATATTTAAATGAATATCTTAATTTAAACAATAAAATTTAAATCTCGCTCTGAACTCTATTATTTTAAAACTGCGTGACTAAAGTTATCAAAATGACTAGTTGTTCGCGAACAGTCTGTGTTCGGCTCGTTAAACAAACAAGTTGAACACGAATAGTGGTATTTTTAATGAGTTGAACATAAACAAAGCTCGGGCTCGCTCACACCCCTAGCCATGGTAGAACTTGTTAGTATATGCAAGAGATTTTTATGAATAATGAAATTAATAAGGAATTGTGTTTAAAATAGTCAACCAAACAAACTCATCTCTCTCTCTCTCTCTCTCTCTCTCTCTCTCTCTCTATAGCTTTAATTTTATACAAACGTTGAGAGAAATCAGAGTAAATGAAGCCTAAAATAGCTCATGAGAACTTAGATATTTAAAAAGACAGGGCATTTGCACATATTTCACCCAATTCCTATCTATATACATATCTCACACCTAAGCTTTGCTTTTCACATTTATATCACCCAAAGCTTTTAAATCAAATAAAAAAATACAAATTATTTAGCTATGCCAAGGTAAGGGGGCATATATATATATATATATATATATTATATATATTTAAGTTCAGATTAGTGGTTAGATATATAAATGCATAAAAGTTGAGTGGATGTGTCTCAACCCTTACTAGAAAAATATTTCTCCTACTTATAGAGGGAGTTTCTCATATATTACAAATATATGATCATTATGCCTAGATCTATAGAGATCTATGACTTATCCTCTTATGTAATTAATATTATCCATGGTGTGCTATCCTTTAATGAGGACTTGATTAAATTTATGTTCCCCGAATACTCGTCAGGTCATATGCATCCTTGTAAAGTTGTTCGTCTCTAGACTAATTCAAACTTGACGCAAGCAAGATATTCTTTCATAAAATTGGCTCGACATTATAAAAGTGATTTAACCACATTATTGGATACACTTCTTGAACTTGACAGATGAGGCAAAATATTTGTTTGATAGCTCATACTTGGCAATTCGTTGATCTCGATCAAGACAATTAGGCCGAGAAACTCGAAGGTCCATTTTGGTGCCTCATCCAAATCTTGATCATAAGTTCAGTATAACCACATTTTGGTTATATATGTACTTATTTTGATGACTTCAAAAGTCAAATTATTTCAATAACTAATAACTTGATTGAACCGAATCATAATAAATAATCAATTTGATATCATTTATGAAACTTTTTTAGTGTATATCAAGAATGTGTCAGCATGAATCCCAAGGAGATTCAATGGTCCAGAAAAAAGAAGTACAACAAAGAATGGCTCATCGAAGGGAAATCAAGTGGCTCCACATACCCAATTTACGAACCAAGAATGAAGGATAATTGAGTTGGGACAAGGATAAAAAGAATGGTCTGAGTTCAAACAGATCAGGTTAGAGCAAGACAGGTAAGCAATCTAGCTAACCTCCATCGTGAAGTCGAGTGAAGGCATCAACCTACCTCTCGGTAGATCCAACTCGAAAAAATAATCCATTTTCTCTCAATCACCAGTTGTCCCATGAATGTCTCCAAGGTTCCTGATCAGGAACTAAGAACTAGTAATACAATAAAGCCTCGCAATTTTCCTAAAGGTCCCCATCGTCAAGGAATGAGGTAACTGCTAGGTTACGGTGATTCATTATATGCTCAATAGTCTAGCCTCATTCTACTGATAGTAGCTCCTCATCCAAGAATCAACGATTGATAGCCAGTCTAAATCAATCAATCGGTAAAATTTAGCCGACCGAGTCAATCCTGTCAAACCGAAGCTAGTCTAATCCAGCCGGTCGTTTACCCCAACTAAGACAAGCCGACTGAACAGGCCTTACCAAGCCAGATCCTGCTAGCCCAACCGACCAAGTCATAGGACAACCGATTAATAGGCTCATTTATTTAAATTTTTTAATATATCATGGAGCATAAATATAATATCACCTATTGTGTCCTCTCCCCTACAGATGGGGGAGATCGTTTTATGAGAAACGACTAATAGAAATGACATTTTACTGCACATCTCTCCCTCTTACAGTCTCTCTCACTCTCTTTTTTTACGCTCTAACTCTTGGGATGTGATTCATGGACCACTCAAGATTCAACATTGAGCTAAAATAACAACTAACAAATAAAAGAAAGAATCTTAACATAAACAAGTACTAAACAAGCATTTATTTATTGAATATAAATATATAGAATATCTTATAGAGTGAATAATTCAGTACATTCAATATTATATATAGGGCATAAAAGTACATTGCACCAACAAGATGAAAAAAGAGAGCTTTATTTAAGATTATTAACATACAAACCACCCAATTCTTACGTATTTACATATCTAAGCCTTAAACTTTATTTTTTTATACTTTTACCATCTAAACTTATCACATCACATCTCAAATATCACCATTTTAACTTATAAAAATAAAATATACATTTTTACTCATAAATAAGCTAATACATAGTGTACATGTAATTAATCATTTTATAGATTTAACCTGGTTTTGTCGGCAAGGACAGAATTCTGATGAAATGTAACAGTGGCTGTTAGCTACTTAAAGGCTCTGTTCACCTCATAAGAATAATTAGATGCATGCATTCAGCTATTTATGTTATCCGGACAGTACAGTAGTTCTTGTCAGCATATTAAAGCGAACGCATGAGGAAGAGATAAGACTTCTCATACAGCCAGCATCGACAAAGATTGATATGGGGGGTATTTTTGGGAAAAATTTCTGTCTGTTTTGTATTTCAGACCGTCATTATAATTTTATTTGAAGAACTATTTTCTTGCTGACTTTTATAAATTACTATGGTGAGAAACTGTTTTCCTTTAATTTAACCCGTTAAAATGCGATGACTGCAAAAAAGATTTTGTCTTTGTTTGTTTTTTTTGAAAAAAATTATATCTTTATATTTCATGTCGCAAATTTAGAGTCTGTTTGGGGCAGTTGCAGCCTATTGAATAATCTGTCGATAAGCTTATTAAAAATAATTTGTTGATAAGCTAGGTGCGGTGGCTATTATAAATTTTTATTTTTATGAAAAAGCCAGACCGTTGTCAATAAGCTACCACCACACCTAGATAGGTGCGGTATGAAAACGTTGTTTTCTGCGTTTTGAAAACACATAAGCTGTCAAAATGCAGTTTACCCAAACAGGTCAGGTGTGTTTTCAAAACGACACCGCACCAAATAAGCTGCCCCAAACGGGCCCTTACAGGCACTTAGGGTCTGTTTGGGGCAGTTGTAGCTTATTGAATAATCTGCTGATAAGCTGATTAAAAATAATCTACTGATAAGCAGGTGTGATGATTATTACAATTTTTTTTTTTTTTTTGAAAAAGTCAGACCGTTGTCAATAAGCGCCATCTAGGTGCGGTATGAAAATGTTGTTTTCTGCATTTTGAAAAAGCATAATATGTCAAAACGCAGTTTACTCAAACAGACCAGATGAGATTTCAAAACGCCACCGCACCAAATAAACTGTCCCAAACGGACCCTTACTTAAAACCTGCAACCACCCCAAATGGAGAAGAAAAAGTAAACTCTCCATGCTTAATTGTATATATCTCATTATTTTCAAAGTTTTTTTTTTATTTTTTATTTTTTATTTTTATGAGAACAATTATTGAAGCATTGAGCACCATATAGCAATTGCATTTGTTATCTTCTTCCTTTCTTTTTTTTTTTTAATTAATATGGAAATATTTGGTAGGTAGGGAATCATCATTATTGTTTTATTTTATTTTGAAATAGAAATCCTATTTGTTCTAGAGAAATGAAATAGTTGTTTTAGTTGTGTATTGCTCAAGATTGTGGGAAAGCATAAATGGGGGGCATCACAAATGTCGGTATTGTTAGTCAATTAAATAATAATCATGATTATTTATAAGTTATATATGTTATATGGACACATTGGATGCCCCATATTTTTTTTATTTTTATAAAAAACATAAAATACTTCTTTTTTGCATTAATAAAACATTTAATAATATAATATATCCTTCTTGCAAAATTGAAGGAACATGAACATGAACATTTATTAGTACTATTGATTAAAAGCTTTAACATATATCTCATTATTTGGCTTGTCAAATTGTATTACTAAATATATTTGATGATCTTCGAGCCCAAATTAGAATAAAAATAAAGCCAATCAGAGCTCTCTTGACGTAGCGTTGAAAAGGGCGATCATTATTTGTATTTTGAAAGCTCCAAAAATATCATGTGATGATCATAACATGTTTTCTCAAGTCAAAATTGAATTGAAGTTTAAAC